ATTCATCAAAAATGCACATCCTCAGTTAACGAATTGCTTAGAATGCTTCAGTGATGCTTCTGATTCAGCATTGGGACAGAACACATTTCGAATGCGAAAAAACTATTACCGTACATTGTTCAGCTGAAAAAAGAAGAAAGTATTACCTTGAAGGTCTTGAGATTCCTAGAAAGGCGTTGCTCAAAATAAGGATCTCTCTGAAGTGAGCCGATATCCGATGGAACGAATGAACTTGCCGTTCTGTAACCAGATGCAATAAAGCATTAAACAAGAAATTGATGAATAGATAAGTTAATACTATCGAAAGGCACAGTGCTTTCCAATTGAACGTATTCCTCGCATGAACTCAGTGTTTCATGAATTCACATTTAAAAATTACCACTTTTTCGAAGCTTACCATTTCTTTACTCACTTTCATATTTCCTTTGTGAAAGAAGATCACTCATCGATACTGGATCAGGCAAAAAGGAAATGATCAGTGAGCTAGATTAGACTAAATGATATCTCTAAACACTTTCAACCTGGTCGGTTGAATTCCCCAAACTGCCAACAAATTCATTTTCTGGCTTCTGTACACCGTACAGTTGAACATTGTGGCTGCGTTCTCATCGTACCACTCGTACGGATGACTTGAACGAAGCAACTGAACGTTGTCGAGGTTTAGAATGAAGCAAAAACTATCTGATAAGCGAAACATGCAAAATCCGATACAACAATTATTAATGAGTGGATCAAAAAGTTGATCCATCGATGGATCATTTATGAATGACCGTCTTCCTTTGTGAAATCTTTGTGAGATTTCTCTTTTTCCTTTGTGAGTTCTTTTTTGTGATTGGCAATCTTGTGAAAGCCCAAAAATACAAGTCATATGACTCGAATTCGTTTGGAATAAAACTTATTATCAATGGAAAAGACGAATGAAATCTCGTCGTTAAAAAATGAGAACGCTGAAAATCCAACTGAAACGGTACCTGCATGGAATTTTTTTCCGGCAGCCGAATTCCAGGGTTCTTGACAATGGAGTAAATTGATATACTGAATGCGAATAGCGCAATCACTACGCACGCCCACTTCAATACACGAACTGTGTTTGGAATGAAACGTTCGAAAACTTTTTCAAAGAAATCATTGACGAATTGACGAATGATGTTGAAGTGAGAAAATAACGAGAATTTCGAGCAGAATTTCGATGGAACGTTATACGGTCGAACGTTCATAATAACAATAGCAGCCGGTAGGATTGTGATCACAAACAGATAGTTGATTAACATCGTTGTACCAGCATAAACTCCGAAGCATATGAAAAAAAAACGATTTTGATGCATTCATAGTTGATTGATTGCAACAACTTTATAGCAGTCAGTTAAAAGCCGAAACAACTGATAGATCTGGGCGGCTAATGAACTATCATTACTCTGCTCAAATGCAGATGATAAGTGGACTACAAACTGGATTGATACATCGGACTAAGTCAAAGCAATATGGCAAGGATCTTGGAAATTTTGATAGCAGTCTCAAATTTACGCGAAAACAACCATGTGAATGAATATCTTGAGATGTTTTGATATCTTGTGATAGCAGCCATGAAATGGAAGGGCGTTATCTTTACGGTCATCGCGTAATGTGACAATTAATGCAAGTTGAGAACGGGCATTTTCACCTAACTACAACAATTTTCGATGCGATATTTGCATAAAATGCAACGGCTGTAGTGGCTGTCGTAACAAACATCGCTAGCACAGCATGCGAAAGTGCTTGATTCAGGCAACTCCTCACGCATTCTCGTAGTCGTTTTTCAACCTTGAAAGTGCTCTTCTTTAAAAACAGATTGATTGCAGTGAGACATTGTTTTGGATTTTTTTCTGAAAGTACTCTTATGCATTTTCAAAAGCATTCCACAAAAGAGCTGAAATGGCAAAACCCATATCGAGTTAAACATGTTTCGACAGAGTATCTTAAAAATTGAATGCATTCAGAAGACATCTATTTGGTGATGGCATACCTTATCATCGGAATCAGCAGTTTCTGGAGCAGAAAGTAACGCAGCTTTGCTCTCCTAAAAGCAATCAAAAATAATAATTTTAATTCAATTTTGCTCTGTTTTTGATCTGGATTGGTCGTTTCTGATTTTGATTTTCGCTTTGATTTATCCTCTATACTTAGTTGAAACTGATTATCAAATCTGGTGTTCACCGGATTTACAGTGTTCGAAGACTGAGCACGAATGATTCTAAAGGAATACCCGATAGGTGTAGAGGCAGTACAATTCACTTGAACATTCCATGATTTGCGATATTTTGTGGCATTATTCTCAAATGTGGGTTTATATAGGAAAGAGAATGGATCAAGATTATTAACTGTATAAAACTGAAAATGTAAATTGCAATTTCACCTCACCTTTTTGAATTTTCGAAATTGATATAGGAAAAGGAACGCATCATCTGCACCCACGGCCACGATTAGAACGATAGCAAGCAGATTCAAAAATGGAAAGAAAGTGATCCGAAATATCATCTAGGAAATAGATCAGTTGGAAGAAAGACTTGTCAAAATGCATAAATTTGATCTACTGATCTCATCAAATACAACCGAAATGAATGACCAATTAAAAATTTGTTGCATGACTTTCTGATTGTAAAATTTTCACAATATATGTGAATTCACGTCTTTCTTGGACTTTTTTGCCAACAATGAGTTTTTACACCCATTCTGTCGAAAATTACACAAGTTATGGTTCTGTTCGAATATTCTCCTGTCTCAACTTGGTCATTTCCATTCAATGGTGAGCAAGTTGAAGTGCAAGTGACAAAGGGACCAAGCAGCTGGATTCGTATTTATAACTTAATGAAATCGTGTGAATGAAATATTGGTCAAATCAGTGTTTCTCATAGAGATGTTTGTGAAGGGGAGGGCTAAGTCACCCTCCGAAGAGATAATTTACGTCTTTCAGGGGATATTCTCACGTCACTGAGGAATTTCCACAAGTGTGAGAAAAACACCCGCAAGTGTGAGAAGCACTGGGCTAAACAGTGTGACTGAACATACCGTATAGACGAAAAATGCCATTCCAAGTGAGAGGAACATTGTGAGCAGTACGAGCAACGTGAATATAATACTATTGGCATAAACGAAAATGAGAAGAGCAACCATTAAGACTGCCGCAATTCCGAGAAATACATCACGAAGTATGAGTGTTTTGAATAGTGTCTCTTTGACGTTAAACGAAGCACCGACAAGAACTAAATCATGCTGATCGTAGTAACGCTGCACATTCTCGAACAGCTTATCGTAGAATTCAGTCTTCCAGTCTTCATTGAACGATATTATCATCTAAAAGACCCAACGCCAAGTACCAATCGGTGTTTAATGAGGAGTGATGACATGAAACCAACGCATTTCAATAACATATCATTTAAACCAAAATGAGGGCAGGGCGTTCGATGGTTACAATTCTTAGAAATTACTTTCAGTGGATCTTTTCGATCGGTGCTCCTTATGGAATATATTAATTTAGTTTGGAATGAGCCAATAATAAATCATTCTCACCGGTAGTACAACGGCGATATACACCGGATCCTCGGATCTAATCGGATCTGTTTGCCTTCCAAAAATCATAGTCCGCAGTTGTTTAGCAAAAACTGTTTGGCATTCTGGCGATGTGTTATCTCTATCAGTTAAACATGCCACTAACATCATTCGAATGTTCATAAGGCTTGAAAGAAAAGCAACTTGATTACTCAGATCATTAACAGCATTCTAAATGTGCTGGATTTGTAATTACCAGAACTTGATTAGGTGTCGGTCTATTACTATGAGAATGTTCAGATAAGACATGAGTGTTCGAGTATCCTAGAACTATGATCCAAAAACGTTTGCGTGGAAATATTCTTATTGATAAGAAATCATTTATGAGAAGTTTGCTTTGAGTTCAAGCGCGAAATTTACGATCGTGAAAACGATTGCATCTATACAGTGGAAGTACATTTAAGTTATTCAGCCACTTGAGTGAACAAAAAACAAGCCTAGCATCAGTCTGAATGATGGGAAATTTGCAAGGAAGAAATATGAAATTCATCGTTTGATTATTTAAACTAAATTCGAGAAAAGAAAGAATTTGATTGTGAAGAAACAGTGGAAAAGTTGAACTCGTCTGAAGTGAGCGAATCACAGTTAGTAGAAGTGCTACGATCACTGCACATCACATAATAAGGCAGATTGAATGAATAGGGTAATATTTTGAAAGATTTTCTTAACTTCACTGGCACCACCTCTAACGTTTCATGTATAATCCAATCCAGATGACACAATTGTCGCATTATATCTACTTCAAATAACTGAAATTATCAAATTACGAATGAATACTCACAGTGTNNNTTAGCGATATTACTTTGTTTCACACAATTTTCATACCGTACAAAATTGAACCGAATACTGGCGAAATGAATTCGGATGGCTTGGCGGCCAATAATTCGCTGTTCCTTTTTCTCTCAGGCAGTTCAGTTTCCGCTGGTTTCAAAAACTGTGACCAGTTACATGATTCTTTAAAGATTGCGTAAGGACCAGGCTTAAATGCACAAGGAAACTTCTACGATATGAAATGGTTTCGAGTTTTCAGTCGTCAAATGTTCATATTTCAAAATTGATTCAATTTTGTTATACGTACGTAGGTGCCACGAAAGATTTGGTTGCATTTGACGTGAACACATTCCGTTTGCCTCTGTTTGAAGTCTGATAAGCCACTCTGATGAGATTCTGTATCGCGAGTCTTTGATCAGAGAGTGGCGTTCCACGTGTTTCAAATCCCTTCATAATAAATTTTGCACTCATTCACCAATCAAACATTCCGATAGATATATTTCCTTTGGGGAAACTTTGACAGAGACAAAATGCAACAATGAAATCGGATGCGATTTCAGAGTAAACGCCATTGAATGCAAAATCTATGTGCCAAGCGATTAAGTTGCAGTAGCGATGCACCATTATATTAAAATATCCTCTTAAATCTGGAGTTTTAGAAAATTTTGTGTCATTAGTTTTGTGTTGAAACACAAAACGTTGACAATGAATGTGATTCAAAAGCTGAGGATTCATATGAGATTCAAACAAGAGAGCATACGATTCTTGGATCGAAATTGAACGCATCGTTGTGAAACCAAATCGACAAAGCTGATAGCGTAGTGGTTATGAGGAGGACGATCAGGATGAATAGCAACGCAAAACGTAGCAAGAATGAAACATATCTGTAAGAAAACATTGAACGGTCTTAAACTATATTAAATGATTTGTCTGAAACACATGAAAAGTCGAATCAGATTTTAGATGAATTTCATACGGAACACATGTGTGAACATCGCTATTTGTAATGCTCTAGGAAATTGAAAGGATAATTCCGGAGTGGCGAAGGAATTTTCCAGTATTTTCGTTCATTTCCTTGTTTTTATGGCCAAGAATGTTCATTTCGGATTTGAAGGAGATTACAAATAAGTGATTGAGACCGATACAATTGTGACCTTATTGCTTTTAACGACGTACTTCTGGTGATTATCACAACCACCTTATAAGTCATTGTTGTGAGTCCCACTGACGAATTCAGCTGCAAATGACCATCGTCTAAAACGTCTAAAACTTACTTTTCACGCAGACGGATGATATTGACTGAAAGTTTCGATTGGAGTCGACTGAAGACCCACATATAGATGCTGTCGATTGCATACAAGTGAAATAACCACAAATTGTTGAATTTTATTGCGGTTGTATCATCGCTGATGAATGAAGCTGAGAACGAAGAAAAGAAATGTGATCGAATGTAAATAGCGATCGAAATGAATAATGAATACGAGAATCAAATATAACATTCTAAAAGTATTGTTAAATGATCGTAGTGCTAAGAGATGCGTCATTTGCATTTATATGAATGGTGAAATCATATTTACATTTTTTCGTTGCAGCACTTATTAATATGATCAATTTATAAGTAAAATTTTCAAGTTCAATATTTTCCATTTAATGACATTAATAGGAATTACCAACATGGTGCTATTGCTCGCTCCATTGAAGTAACGAACATGCCAGCCGAACTACTCTACACATCACATTTTTGGTACCTACACCGATAGATGAATGCGTTTTGGAAGACTTTGATCACAGAGAGTTATTGCACTAACTGGTCATATTCACCGTATTGTCATGGATATGCTGGATTTGATGCCCTCGCGCAAAAATACCTATTCAAAGGGAACTTTTACATTCGGAATCGCTTTATTTTTTCACAGTATTCCACTACAACATACAATGATTTCACGTGACAACTGAATCAACGTTAAGAACGTACCAATGTTTTACGCGCAAACTTGTATTAGAGTTGGCGCATAATTTTCCGAGCGAATTGCATATCCGAATAGGTCCTTATTGCCTTTTTTTTGAGACGAGATTTTATTCGTGGGAACACAGTGACTTGAAAGTGATCGCAAAAATAACCTGTCACTGCGTAAGCTTGTGGAGTACAGGATGCGATTGCAAGCTGATGCAATATTTATAAATGCCAATAAATGCTCGATCGATGTTTAAAAAGTTGACTAATCGAGTGCAATTGACGTGTCTTATGTGTCAGTCGACATATGAATAAATTTGCATGAAAAACGTATTCAAAACGCTGTAATTTCAAATTGACTGCATTGTAAAAATGGAAGTTTCGAATCATGTGGACTAATCATTAGATACGAACTATTGATACCGCAGTGTTCATTGCGACTTTGATATTGCTAATAAATGCAGTTATCTGAAGGTGACTGTTGCGATAATGTGAATGATGCAATTATTGGCGACGTAGATATTAGGTTTTATCAACCTCATAGAATCCAAAAGTGACATTTCAAGAGAATCATTTCATCGCAGCGTTTCCATTACATTCCACTCACATTACCACGTCAAAGTGAACGTCACCATC